CTTATTATTCCTCAAGCACTGCTGTGTGGAGGTTAATACTAGCTGTTTTGCCACATTTGCCTGCCTCTGTAGCTCATTTTTTGAAGCCATCCCTTTCATTAGCTGGAGGATTTTCACTTAGATCATCTGAATATTCCTAGAGTTGATGGGGTTCCTCTGGCACCAACATCCATTTACAGAATCTCTCATTACTAGAGCTTCAAACAGGAAGGTGCAGATTTCTGAAATGAATTAAATTCATTTTAAAAGACCTGCAAAAGTTATCATGACCTCCAAGGAATTAAATACAGAATTTCTACTGCTAATTTGTTAGCTAGTTACAGGCAATCATTCATTCATTCTGAAAACATTCATTGGACTAAGTTCTTCCAGTTTTCAAAGTCATCCCTGGGAAATATACTCTTGGATATTTCATTTGTTTCTCTTCAGGGTCCATTACAAAAACAAACAAGAACTATTACAATGTGAAACTCTAAGCAAGTTTTTAGAGGGATGAAGAGGAACAAATAGGAAGGTATGGTCCCCTGGTGAAATTACACTTCTGAGATTGGTTTAATTTCGTTTAGTCTTTATATTACACTTTGTCTGAAGTTACCAGACAGGGTAAAAGAGGCTGAGTTAAACCCAGTGCTGGAGTCTGAATATACTCCTTGCTCTAAAGACTCACCAGGATGCCTCCAACCTTCTCTGTTGCCCTGAGGGCTGAGTCGAGGCCTAGTTTTCACATTTGAACAGATGAGTAGCAATTCTTTTTTGGGTCTTTCTGGCAATCTGCCTGATAATATACTACTGCCTGGACCAAGGGGATCTTGAGGGTCCACTATCATTCTCTCCTGTGCAATCCACTCTCTCAGCCCACCCTCACACTCTCGACCAGTCCTTCAGTAGTTCCTGTGTACACATGGGCCACTCTACACAGCCAAATGGGTGCTGTCAGCTGTATTTGATGGCTGTACATACTCAAAGGTTCAGTATCAAGAAAGCCCCATTTTTTAGCCCCTTAGATAAAGGCATATATTTATCAGTACCTGTGTATCCTCACATAAAAACAAAATTCTTCCTATATTGTGCATTTTAACGGAAGAGGGCTTAATGAAGTGACGAAATTTTTACAACTTGAAACAATGCCATTTACTGTTTCATCTCTATTAAGATATTTTAAAAAGTCAGCCTCACATAAAACTGCAGGTGTTAAAAAAAAACAAAAACAAAACAGAACTCTTGCATTTAAGAAGCATACCTATAGAGAAGGAGGCAGTCATAGGATGAGGAAATGTTACATGACCACAGCTGGCAGCTAATCATTTAGACCATTTTGTTTCAGAGTTTGGAAATGACTCGAGGTTTAGTAGGAAAGGGTTTATAGAGGATATGGAATTTAAGGTGGCTTGAAGGCAACTGTGAATAAAAGTTAAAAATCTGAACTTAGGTTTTAAATCTAGTCTCTGTCATTTCATGGCTCTGTGCCTCTGGAAATAAATTTAATATATTCAATCTTCAGTTCTCTTAATATTTAAAATAAACCATTGTTTCAGAGATTCATTTGGTGAATCCACGTAAAATCACCAACCATAATGCCTTATAGATATTAGACTCCCAATTATGCTGCAGGAGCATGGGTGAAGCTTTCTTTCATAAAAGAGAAAGGGAAGTACAAGCAAGGGAAGTAAAATAAGCAAAATAACAGAGGTTAAATATGACAAAAATAAATTTGGGCTATTAAATATGCCACTTTGATTGTCGTAGGGGGGCAATACAAAGGAGAAGGGGCCCAATTGTGACACCGTCCCCAGAAGAAGTCTGGATTTGACTTTTGAGAAATGGTAACTGACAAAAGGTATTTAAACATGAATTTACATTCTTAAAATTCCTTAAAAAAAACCGTTTTGAAAGCACAATCAGGAGTAGCAAACAATATTTTCTAAATAATTATACATTTATAGCCCCAAATATTTTGTGACGTGTTTATTTAAAACAGTCTCCAACTATATGTCTCACAGTTATGTAATGATGCAATGTACAGAATTATTTAAATTAATATCAAATTATGGTTTCTCTAAGAGAATTAAGAACCCAAGGGTGAAACTTTTTCTGAGTACTTAAGAAATTTATTTAGTTAGAATTTGTACTCTGACAACAAAATTATCACAGTAGTTGATGCTCCCCCAAAGCATTTGAAAATCAAGTGGGACACAGCTTTCAAAAGCATCAGAAAATTGTGATCCAGGCTGTGTGTTTTACTTGCCTAAGATGTCTAGGAGGCAAGTCAGGGTAACTTTGCAATTTCAGTCAGAGTGATGCAAGTGTCCAAGAAGAAGCTTGAAAACAACTATCACAAAGACTGTCTTTGGACACTGTCAGCAACATACATCTCCTGTAACAAGTGTTTAGTCTTAACAGTGGCTGATCCTTTGAAGAAGGAGTGTGTTGGCAGGGGCTCTGGGGTGGAGGAGATGCTAAGACTCGAGAGCATGATCCCAGCGTCATGGCTTGTATTTCTGAAATGAAGCATCGTATATTATAATATTGCCTGTGACTGCTGAGCCTGTCCTGGCCCTTGAAAGCATCCAAGTCTTTGGTGCAGTCAAATTCTTAGTTACTTGGCAAAAACTCTGATGAAGAAAGTGAGAAAGATGTGTTAATATTTAATAAGCCTACTGATCGATTGCTGTGCCTCCTAAAATGTTCATCTCTTTGACTGGTGGGAAATGAACTTCATTAGGATTTCTCTGCTACCTTATAGCTCCTTGTTAACATTTCCCCTTTTGGGGCTCTGAGAAAAAATGGATAGCTTCTTTCCATGAATCTCTGCCAACCACACTCTCCTGTACTATTTTCCATATCCATTTGCTCAGAAAAGTGGATGTAAATCTCATTTTGCAAAGAAAATATTATCAGTTCTTTGTGATCTAAAGTAAAATTTGTGAAATGGTATTTTATGATTCATAGAAGTAACTAGTAGATTGATTTAATATATGGAAGCTAGTACTATATTTAGTTTCAAGCTATGAATATCAAAAATATTAAGCACACTTTTTCATATTTCAGCTTCACTTTTATTTGAAAAAGAAAAAGAAAAATGTAGAACCTTAAAAAATGGAAACTACCAGGAAAAGATTTGTCTATATAAAATAATTATTATGAAAAGTCATTTATTTAAACCGCTTCAGATAGAAAAAGGAGAGTACAACACATATAAACCTAGCTATAAATCAGAAATTAAAATGTTCCTTAGTAAAATAATTATTGGTGTCATACTTCATATAGAAATTATTCACATTAAGGCTGAACTTAATGGTGGGACAAAGATTGTTAAATGTATTGATAACTAAATATGTGGCAAGAACTTGTGAAATGTCAGCGTGTATTATCTCATTTGAATCCTCAACCGCAAGAAGTATGATCTGTACTGTAGCCTCATATTGTCTCTATTTTATTAATAAGAAAGCTCAGGAAGAGATTACTTAAGAAACTTACCCAAGGCCTCACTGTTTAAAATAATATTTCCAGGGTCGCCTGGGTCACTCAGTCAGTTGAGCATCCAACTTCAGCTCAGGTCAGGTCATAATCTCACTCAAGGCTTGTGACTTTGAGCCCTGCGACAGGCTCTGTGCTGACAGCTCAGAGCTCAGAGCCTGCTTCGGATTCTATGTCTCTCTTTCCATCTGCCCCTCCCCTAGTCATGCTCTGTCTCTTTCTCACTCTCTCTCAAAAATAAATAAACATTAAATGTTTTAAAATATATATTTCTAAAGGGAATTTAAACCAAAGTATTCTGTTTATGGCGCCCAAGCTCCTAAAGAGTATATACTCACAGTGTCAAGCCGGAAAAGGATCAGGTGGACCCCTCTTCTGAAAATTCACTTATTTTTTTAAAGTTTATTTATAAATTTTTTGAAAGAGAGAGCATGCAGGGAGAGGCATAGAAGATGAAAAGAGAGAGAATCCCAAGCGGGCACTGCACCATCAGCACGGAGCCCGGTATGGGGCTGCACTCACAAACTGTAAGATCATGACCTGAGCCAAAGTCAGATACTTAACTGACTGAACCATCCAGGGGCCCCTAGAAATGTACTTATTTTCAGAGAAAGTAAAAGAAAGCACTCAATGAGAAAAGCTGACCAGCAAGGAAAAGGTTGTTTTAGAATCCACTAAAATGAAAAGCCAGACTTCATTCTGATTATTTTATTTTACTTTTTTAATGTTGTTTTTGTTTTTGTTGTTGTTGTGTTTTGTTTTGTTTTTTTTTCTTCTGAGAGAGACCGCGCGAGCAGGGGAGGGTCAGAGAGAGTGGGAGACATAGAATCTGAAACAGGCTCCAGGCTCTGAGCTGGCTGTCAGCACAGAGCCCGATGCGGGGCTCAAACCCATGAACCGTGAGATCATGACCTGAGCCCAAGTCGGACCCTTAACCAACTGAGCCACCCAGATGCCCCCATTCTGATTATTTTAATAGTAAAGAGGATATAATTCAGGAAACAGGAGACAGACTGGGCAGGACTTCTTCTTGTGTCTTCATTCCCTTTCTGAAACAGTATCATTAGTATTCAGTTATTAAAGATACCATTTCTACTCTTGTCCTTTGCTGGTAGAATTATCTTGGTTTCTAAGCATTTGAGAACCCAGGCTGATGCAAATGAGTTTCCATCACAACTCACAGCCAGCTGGCTACAGAATTTGCAGGGCCTGGTACAAAATAAAAATACAAGCTTACTTGTTCATAAATTATTAAGAATTTCAAAATGTTTACAAGAGAGCATTAAACTGAGAGCCGTGTGGCTGCATAGCCAGTATGCCTGTGAAGTCCCTTCTCTACCCATAGCCAAAGACTGAGTGCCTGTTCTCTGAACTTTTGCAAGAAGGAGGATTTTTGACCATTTATATTATCTGCCTTTGGCTAAAAATTTCAGCTGTTGGTAATACACAAACTTAGTTCTCTTCCCTCATTTGAGACAGATTTAATTTTAACATTGAGTTATAACTTTCTTACTTCTTTCGAGACACTGAAGGAAAAGTACTCAGTATCTTCTGAGAGAAAACAAACAAGGAAAGCTGCAATGTCTGGATGATCTTCAAAAAGAGAAGTTTTGAACAAGAAAACATGTTGATGTAATATTTTATCCATTTTCAATGTAATCTATCTCTGGGAAAATAATATACATATCTTACGTATCTACCTAAGAGCAAATAAAAAATAACCACAGTTTGTCATTTTTTTAATAAAAAGAACAAAACTATTACATGGTTATTTCAGAGGGTATCACACATCTGGAGTATATTTCCTATATTGGGAGTGGGGGGGTTTGAAGAACAAAGATGAAAGGGAATAACAGAAAATCTTTTTTCCTATACCTCACTCACAGTTTGCCCTGCCTCCAATTTTGCCATCTCACCATTTTCCAAGTAGAATTGGCAGGATAGAAACTAGGTAATCCTGAGGGGTAAACTAGAGAATATGAGAGAACGCAAGAGTTGTTTGCTGACCACATTTGCACCTAGAAGAAGACCTCTCAGCTAGAAGTTAGTCAAGAAATATGTATGGAGGTTATTAGTTTCTTTTTTTTAAAAATTTTTTAATGTTTTATTTATTTCTAAGAGAGAGAGAGAGAGACAGCGTGAGCAAGGGAGGTTCAGAGAGAGAAGGAGTCACAGACTCTGAAACAGGCTCCAGGCTCCGAGCTGGCAGTCAGCACAGAACTGCGAGATCATGACCTAAGCGAAAGTCGGACACTCAACCGACTAAGCCACCCAGGCACCCCATTAGTTTCTTAATAATATGAAACTTATATCCAATATGAAGTGATAGGAAGATGTTATTGTAAGTTACAATCGAGAGGAGGGATTCAAGAGAAGAAAAACTGGATTCCTCTTGAGCAGTCACACTCATCAAGTCAGACTTGATCTAGCAACTGTCAGGAACCAAGCAGTCACCTACTGCAGTCATCAGAGCTGCCCTGTAGGATATGAACACTCTGAAGGCAAGCCCCAAGGAGCACCACTATCTGACCTCCTGATGGACCTGACTCTGCCTAGAGTTGTGCTCCCAGCAATGCCCTGGAAACTATCAGTGACACAATACTGTTGAATATTGAATAACACTTCATTAACATAAAAACCACTACAGGAAGTTGTGAGGACATGCTAAGAGGAACCGGTGAAAGAGAGAATGTTAGATGAAAAGGGTGACTGATAAATTCACAAAGATGTACCAACAAACATCAGGACAATAAAACAATATCTTTCATTTTGGCCATTATTTGGAAATGCGATGTTGAGTGAAAGCACTGAAATCGTGTTTAAATTATGATATGGACTTAATGCAATATACATGGGCACAGGTATCCAATTGTTCCAATCCTTCGTTGAATTGTGTTTCTGAGTTTAACTTGTAAGATTTACGCATTTCTCCTTTCCTAACCTTCCCATTCTTCATGAATAATTTTTTGGTAGAATCCCATGTTTTCTGATTATATAGAGACTTAACTTAGTCTTGCCTTTTGTTGAATGTTGAATATTTAAATACAGCTTTCATTTCAACTGCAAACTTTTTCTTGTAGGTAGAGTTTTTTATTCTGAAAAGAATAAACCTCTTCCCAAATGGCTTATATTTATATTTAAAAGCAATTTATAAGGCAAATAAATCTGACATAATAAGGTCAGCCGATATAACGCTAAAATATTTTAATATCTGATAGTCTGTGAAAAAAGAAACAATGCTGAATCTGCTCTTAAGATTCATCATGTCATATAATGGTTTTACATAAAGATGTTGACTTCAGTGTTAGCAAATCCACATAGCTTAGGAAAAGAATAACCTGGCCTGAGGTAGATTCAGCATACGCCTTGTTTCACAATATGTTTTTAACATAGTTTTCTCTGAACTTTAGTAATTTTCCTATTGATTCAACATGTCTACTTGAATTAGGCATATCTGATATTCTGGCTACTATCTTAGACGCATCTTTGGGGGGCTCTAAGATGTAACTGGGGCTTAGGATTTCATTATCTAGGCTTATTTCATTCTAATATAATAAAATTCAGCAAATGACAGCACTGACATGAGACTGAAATAATCAAACATCCAGTTATTTCTGAGGAATCAGTTAATTACATGCTAATGCTGACTGAGCTTATTTTTGCGTATGTGTTTAGTTTTTTTCAAACGGTTTATGCATTACACATTCTTTTTGCATATGTTCTTAAAAACACTTCAGTACAAAAAATAACATTTTTTCTATCATAATTTGTTTTATCTTCTCCAAGAATTGTTCAGTGCTACAAATAAATTATATCCATTAAGTGAATTCAGTCACTTATTGTGGTAATACTTGGGTGACAATTAGTGTTTTCTTGCTATAACATTAATATTATCTAAATCATTTAGTAATTTTATGTCGCAAGTGGCTATTTGAAATACACATCAATTTACTATTAACTTTTTTTTATAACCTGAAAAGGAAGTTTTCATTACCTAAGGCAAAAATTATAAGCAATTTCAAGAGTCTTTTAAATTAAAGGATAATGGAATCCTTTGAGATACTTCTGACAAGGAGCATGTTCTCCTAGTGAGGGTCAGAGTTCAATTCCTAAAGTCATCCATCACATTCTGACTGGCAAGGGCTGAAGAGCTGCAAAAATGAACAGGAGAGAGGGCACCCTTGCTGACCTCCTAAATCACTTTCATGCACACAGTTCAGTAAATACACGTACCCATTCACAAACACCACACACAAACAGCTCTACATTTTTAAAAGGGCCTTTGTGATTGGAAAAAGCCAGTTTTAATGCAATTGAAACATCAAAGGATTTTATATATTTGAGATTTTCTTTCAAACGCTTATTTTAATTATATGACAGAAAACCACACTTCATATCTTATTTCAGATACAAATAATTCATTGAAAATATTTATTGATGCCTTTTTGTATGCCAAGAGTTTTGAGAGTCATGAGCGATGGCAAAAATGCTTAGGTAAAGTTTCTTATCTTTAGTTGGTCTGTCAAAACATATCTATTCAGCACTAGGAGTTCCGAGGAACCGATAACCTAGTGGTACTTCCGAACTAAGTCAGGAATTTTGTGTTAACTTCAAGTGGTTCCACCTTAACTACATTTTTAAAATCTCTTTTTCTAGTGGTGTGGCCTTCACTTTAAGGAACCTAATGGTTTAGGGAATTCTCATTTGAAGTATCTTACCGCTATCTGCTTAGCCTAAAGTTTTACTTACTAAATTACTTACTAAAATACTTACTAAAACTTGTAAAGTTTTTCTGGATTTCTTTATTTCCCCAACTAAAATGTGGGCTCTGTTTTCATGGAGACCAGCCTATCTCCATAGCTGATATCCAATGACAGGCATAATTTGTCATTAACTATTTGCTAAGTTAATTAATTATATAGCTACCCCCCCCGCCCCCCCAATCCTGGGCCTGAAGGAAGCCTTCTCATAAGTGAAAACAATTGATTAGGTACAAAACAACATTTCTCTCAGAAGTTCTAATACACTTTTTTTTTTTTTTATATTTTTATTTATTTCTAGGAGAGAGAGAGAGAGACAGCGTGAGCAGGGGAGGGTCAGAGAGGGAGTCACAGACTGAAACAGGCTCCAGGCTCCAAGCTGGCAGTCAGCACAGAGCCCGACGCGGGGCTCTAACCCACGAACCGCGAGATCATGACCCAAGCGAAAGTCGGACGCTTAACCGACTAAGCCACCCAGGCGCCCCTAATACACTTTTCAAACAAGAGTCAATCCACATCTTTCTGACATATGAAATAGGTGTCAGATATTTAAATGATTTGTAAAGCAAGTAAAATAACTAAAAGGATGTTTTTCTCTAGGATTATGAAATTAAGCCTATTTTCAGTTTCCATTCCATCTTCAGTATGAGGGAAAGATTAGACTGAATATCTCATGGTTAACAGCTGACTTTCACTCTCTCCATGTTCATATATTCATCAGGTCTGTCACAGTTTTGGGCACTGTACTTTAACACATATTTCTAAAATTAAATCAATCAATTTCAAAATCCTTGATTCTTCACCAGTGTTTTGAGTCAGGAGATTGCCATTAAAAGTTGGAGAATGAGGGGCTCCTGGGTGGTTCAGTGGTTAAGCATCTGACTTGGACTCAGGTCATGATCACATGCTTGTGGGTTTGGGCCCCACATCTGGCTCTGTGCTGACAACTCAGAACCTGGAGCCTGCTAGAACAGTGATGGTGATTTGGTATTAATTACAGTGTTTTCTAACTTAACAACACTCGATCTCTACAAAAAATAGTTTAATTTCCTAGAATGTGTGAACATTAGAAAATTAAATAATAGAGTTGGCTTATGCTGTCTTTAAAACACAACATTCTTAGGTTGACTTAACAAAATTTTCTTAAATAATAATAGTACAAAATACTCATATGAGAAAATTCTTTTTTAAAAATTTTTAATGTTTTTTTTTTTTTGTCAATTTATTTCTGAGACAGAAAGAGAGGCAGTGTGAGCAGGGTAGGGTAAGAGAGAGAGGGAGACAAAGAATCAGAAATAAGCTCCAGGCTCCAAGCTAGCTGTCAGCACAGAGCCTGATGCAGGGCTTGAACCCACAAACCGTGAGATCATGACCTGAGCTGAAGTTGGACACTTAACCAACTGAGTACCCAGGTGCCCCTCATATGAGAAAATTCTTAATTGGCATAATTACTTGTCCAGAATTTTAATTATTCCTTAGAACTCACTATCTTAAAATTTATTTAAAAATTTTTAAAAATTAATTGAAGAGAAAATAACCTCAATAGTTTTCCTAAGGTGTGAAATTCACATATTTTAAATTTACAATGATTTGAAGCATCAACATATTGCATGTAAAAATCAAGACTTGTAGATATTCTTACTAATTTTTTTTCTGGTGGGACTTATGAAACTGGATAGAAACCTGTAAATGCATACGTCTTCTCTCGCCTGACAAGAGGCTGATAAAATATCTTTTCAGTTCTGGTGGCCTGATTTTATTCAGCTGTAAGGTTATGGCACCCCCTAGCCCAGCCTAGCAGCATAGCAATCAATTCTGGCAGAAACGGAAGTTTAAAGGGAGCTTTAAAGAATGTATGCAAAACCTGGGAGATTTTTAAAACATAGTCTCAATTCAAGGAGGTAT